GTATGTATTTTTATTTTTTTTTATAATATTCGGATATGTGAGAAATTGCCAAAATCTTTTTGCATGTGTCGTGCCCTATCTCTGTCGTGTAAGAAACATATCTTTCAACCTTTTCTTAAATTAAAGTTTCTCATTGTCACATTCAACAAAAAACTGTTAATTTTTTCTGAATTGCATAGCCCAGTTGAAGTAACACCACCAACAGTTTTTAATTTTTTTTCAATTCAAAACATATTATTTTCTGATTTAATTGCATGATTGTATATTGTGAACTATTTAATTTCTTTTGGTTTCCATAAGTACACTTTGAATAAAAAATAAAGATATGCGAAACTGTACATAAACACAATATACAAATAAATTGTACTTACTCCTGCTACCAGGAAAGTCAGAATAGTACCCCACATGGAAAAATCATATCCCCATGGTAAAAATAGTACACCAGTATTGTACTTCTCAAAATGAGATAAATAAAAATTCATCATCACGTTCCACATGGTGAAAAACATCCGAAAAGGAGGCAAACTGTAGGTGCTTCCTCTTCCAAAAATTGAATACATAGCACCTGGAATAAGACCAGCTGTATAGGAATCCAGGCCATGATCAAATAATTCACCAAGAGGTCCACTAGTGCCTGTCCTCCGGGCTTGTTTTCCGTCGATCCCATCTAAAAAATATATATTTTCAATCCAAAATAAGCACTTTTCCCAATCATCAGAACTGTTAGGGTCTTCAGGAGATGAAGAATATTTTGTGTTCTCTTCATCTCCTGAAGACGCCAACTTGATTGGTGAAACGCGCAGTTCTAATGAAGAATATTGTGTTTCATTAATTTTCTGAAGACGCCAACTTGGTTGATGAAACATGCGGCAAGAAGAGTATTGCAGTTCTGGTGAAGAGTATTGTGTTTGTGTTGGTGTGTACATTTGGGAATATATGGACGAAGCTACACAAAAAACTCAATCCAGTTAAAGTGGAGAAATTGGTAAAAATTTATAGATATTTCAATTGTCACCAATGAAAGTTATATATCTATATGTTGAATGATTATTTCTTTTTACATTTTATGAGAATGTTCCTATGTTTGGTTTAATAAATGTTATATATTTGATGACTTGCTTAAATTTTTTCAAGAATTCGAAGAAAATGAATAGGTTATAACCGGCGGGTTTTTCATTGTGGCTTTAGCCGGTTACAACCCCCGGTTTTAACCGGGTTGGTTTTAACAGTGCCAACTCTGCGAAAATCCACACCAAACAGTGACTTTTTCGGAATGCATTGAACGTTCTTGGATCTCATGTGGATTAGTATCGTCCCAAATTCGACAATTTTGTTTATTCACGTACCCATCCATCTAGAAATGGGCTTCATTCCTGACGCACGACGCAAAATTCGCCACAATGTGGTCTGAGAAAAGCCAAGTTCTTTTGAGAGACGCGAAATCGACTGTCTCGGATTATCCTGCACACTCTCACAGACAGCGGCGATGTTTTCGGCAGATCTTGCGTTTCGTCGACGTACGGGTGTTGGTTTACTTAACCAGTGGACTCAAATTTATCCACCACATTGCCAACAGTCCTCTCGGTAGGACGATTATGGCGACCGTAAAATGAACGAAACACGAAGTACGTTGCCCGAACAGAATTTATTATTTCCACGTGTTGTTGAATGCTATATCCGTCCGTGGCGATTTCGCAAAAGAGACTGAATAAATGACAACTTATTTGACAGATGTAGCTTCAACAAGATGGCCGTTATCAATTATCAAAATTCTGAAATCCCTGTTGGAAAACCCTATATTTATATATTTAAAACTTTCACCACAACACCAAAGTCATAGATGTAAAGTGAAACTTCCTGCATTCGTTTTATTTGCAATACAGACTTACCTAATGTATAACCAATGAATAAAAATATTCCTCCGACTGTGAAAGCCCACTTTGGAATAGGTGGATATTCAGGATGATCTGGATCACTAGCATAGAAGTTACAATCCAGAATGGTAAACATAACGTATGTAGACACAGTAAAGAGAAAGCCAGTGAAAGTTAATAAATTTGGAGCTATCGATCTGGGGCAGTACTGAAATTCAAATAAAAAATTATTGAGAATATAAAGATAATAATAAAATAATGTAGATTCTGTCAGATGTGTCCTGAAGAAAAGTTATCATGAATTTATGGTTTTTTATTGAAGAGTTAAGGGATATTGAAATTGGAGGATGAAAATACGATTTTCAAAGTAAACCAGAAACTTTACTAGTCGAAAAATTTCTTCAACACCATTATACAATGAGCAATCGAAATGTTAAACAATTATTAATATTATATAGCCCTGTATTTGAAACTGAAAAACTTTCTGAAATATAAAAAAAAAATTCACCCACCAGTTTTTAGTATTACTTATTTTAGTATTATATTTGGAAAGTAGATATTTAAATGAAGCTAAACATGTTTCTAAATATTTTCATACTAATTTACTTAGGTGAAAGTTTATTTTTGTTTTACAAAAACCCATTTGTAGAAGTTTTTTCATGAGGAAATATAATTCTGCATTAAATGTATATACTAACAACACATATTGGTCTCGATTATTAATTCACTTGAAGCTTCCTGCTAAACTAACACTATGTATTCAGCAGACATAACTAAATGAATGTACAGTAATTCAGTATGTACGTAATTCACCATGAAAAAGCTACTGTGTTAGCGGAACATGTCGTGATATTTTTCAAAAACAAAGTTTGTGGAGATCAAACCGTAAGGTGTAGTTTATGAAATAACTTTTCTCCCAAGACGAATGTTCTTTCAATTTAAACAAGATTCCTATGGCTGAGATTTAATCAAATGAGCGAATGAATGTTATATATGTACTGTCATCGATGACATGGGTGGATTTGACCCATTCCATGACAAAAAGTCATAGTTATGAATGAATTGAGTATTTTTTCTTATAAAGTTATCCTTATTTGCTAATGAAGAGCCGATAAGGCAAGTGTCTTAAGGCAAAATATCGGATGTCTAGCAGTGAGGATGACAGTGTTCCAAGTAAGTGAAATTTTACTTATTTCATCAATTATATTGTGTAGGAATCTTGTGAATAATATCTGATTCAATCTCATTCAAATGTTTGAAATACAAACAGAATAGAGAAAAGGGTTCTTCATATAATTCAGCGTTCATATAAAAGTATTTGTTTCAAAAGTATTTTTCTTTCCAGTAATTCAATGTTTATATGAAAATAGCTGTTTCGGGAGGGCTTTTTTTTCCAGTCTGTGTCTGAAAGTTACTTCTTTGTATAGATTTAAGTTTTGAAATTGATTGCTTCCTTCATTTCTTTGGAAGGTTGCCACATTTTTTGTATCAAGATGGAGAAGTAGAAGGCCAAAAACTTTTTTTTCAAAAAATGATGGAGAATATTTTGAACAAAAACAATGGTTGGGATAGTGTAGCCTAATCTCTAATAAATTTCAAAACACATTTCGTTTAAATAATTACCTCAAAACTGTTACTCTCAGTGCAGGCATATTTTAATTACTTTTGAAAATATCTATTGATGCAATTTTTCGGAAACTGCTGTTGGAAATATTGATATTAAAGTATCACTGGGAAGTCAATTGAAATCACTTTAAAAAGATGTGCCATCTGACCACATTTAAGATTCTAAGGGTAATATCCAAGTTACTCTTCGTAAAGAGTTGAATCATGAGTGCTTAAAATGATTCCTGAACATGTTTTCTTTGAAAATAAATTTGACGTGTTTTTTCCATATTTCAAATTATCTCCTGGAAGGAGTATATAGAGGGTTGGAAATAGTTTTCAAATCGACACGCTGTGAATTATAACTTTAATCACAAAACATATGATTTCATGTAATACCATAAAATATAAAAAGTTAAAAATAACTTACCTGCACAAGCCAGTTCCAAAATGGATGCATAACATAAATACTCAATATTCCAGTATCTTTGCAGCTATACTGAAAATAAAAGAATTGAATATATAACATTTTCAAAATAGAGATAGATAGTGTTGCATTGTTACCCTATTTTTTCTCGTGAATAAATAATTGTAGTGGCGAACTATATTTCAAAAAGATATTTGGCTGATTCATGCACCAAATTTTTACCTTTTTTTTTCTCCAAATATAAATTTATTTGGAACAATCATGAAATACAAATCAATCAATTCAAAGAACTACGATTATAAAAAAAAGGAAAGAAGAAAAAAAATCACATCAAAGGTGCTGCTTCGTTCCCTTCTGCTCATAAAAGAGGACATATGCCTCATCGCTTACTCTATCTTCAACTTCAAGAAAGTTGGTGAAATTTAAATCAATGAGAGCTTCCGCATACCACATTTTTGCTTTTATATTTACTTTGACTTAAAGGAAAGTTCTGTAGGCGAGAATGTTTTGTTTACGGATTTGACGGAAAAAATGTGCATGCGTTAACCAACATTGTGTTCCATATTTTTGTAACATAAGTCTGTTCTTTGTTGATATTAGCATTCTGCTATTATTTGTGAAGTGTAGTAACAATGACATTTAATTTATAATAATAATATAGGTCTTAATTTTCCACAACATTACAAAAAAAAATAGTACATAATAATTATAAAATAACGAGAAGAAAACCGAGGTGTCAGGTCAATATGTAAGAACACATCTTCCCTTCCAACCGCATCAGATTTTATGTGATTAGGTTATCAGCATCTACAAAATGAGGTGGAATGTTTTTGTCATTCCTCTTCAGGTTTTTTTAAATTCCATTTTGTGTTTTAATTTTTAGACTTTTTAAAATTTCTAATTAATTTTTTGTAATTTTAAAAATTAACTGTCTTTTCATTGGGTGTATTATTCTCGTAGTTCTAGTGACTTTGTAGACAAAATGTTACCTTTTCAGACTATAAAGCTCATCTTTCTATCTACCAATCTATCTATACAGTGTTTATCAGCCTAATAGAATAAAATCGATAATAATGATCGACACGTCGATTGGTATTTTCAGTTGTGCATATTTTTCAACAGAGTGTGTTGTGTAACAGTGCAATACCAATTTTGTTATTTCAAATGCAACACTCTGTATATTGTGTCAGCGCTATTTTCTAGGTTTGTTTTCCGTAGTCTGCATACAAGCATTTCTAAATGAAAACTTTGAAGCATGTAATGTATTGAAATTTTAATCATTTTAATTAATTAATGTTTTTGAAAATACCATTAACTGCTACAAATGCTCTTTACTGTTTTGAAGCAGATGCGTACTTAGATTCAGTGTGAATTGCATCGTTGTTGTGTTCTTTTTATCGAGTTTAATTCTGTTGTTTAAATTGCATCTTTTTAAATACCATACCCTGTAGTTTGAAAATTGTGTTTTAATTAAATACTTTTGGACTTCAAAGAACCACAGGTCTTATTGATAAAGCATACAGGGTGTACAGGGTGTCAATTTGAAAACTTTCCACCCTTAATATAATCGTTCCAGTAAACAATTTAAGGAATCGAAAAAATAAGTCAATTTTATTGGTTTTTATGTCAAGTTTCATTTTGACATAAAAACCAATAAACGTGTATAAGCAAGAGACTCAAGAAAATCTAATAATACTCAAAGATGAAATTGTGAACAAAGTATCAAATAACAGGAGTGTGTGGTCGCAGCATCTACAATATTATGAGATAATTTATCACTAATCATAGATTTTCAGAATTTTTATATTTCATTTTATACCATCTGATTAATTACATATGTACTTTTGTGTCATCTTGTATAATATTTTTAAATATTTTTGCAATTTTCGTTGGTATTAAAGTATTACAAATTCATATTTCTAAAATTCTCAGTTTAAATACATTGCAATAATATTTTGTTTACTGAGCCTTGGAATGGAAAATATTTTAGTTTTAAAATTAAATATACAGAAACAAAACAAGGAAGAGCTAGTAGTAGTAGATTATTGTAATTGCTTTGATAATATCCAATCCAAATGAGCACTTTAACCTTGTTATCTCAAATAGTATAAATGATTGTTGAAATCAGGTTACTAACCCTTTTATCTTCATTTCCAAATATCGAAATTATTATTATTATTTATTTAACAGTTTCCTGTTAATGAGATTACATAATAGCTCCTAAATTAGGGGATATTATATAAAAATCTATTATATACAATAAAATTAGCTGCAATAAACTGATTAAGAAATTCAAATTTATTTTAATTTTTATATGAAGGGGGTCACACTGGAAGACATTAACCTATCATAAAAAAGCTACCAATATATGAAGTCCAGTAGACTTTAGATATTTCGATAGAAATTCATAGATAACTAATAAAGGATACAGCTACCATAACTTAATTTTACTAACCTTGTAATTATCAAATCCAATCAAATGGTCTTTTGTTAAATATTCCTTTTCCATTTCGATTGAGTTTTGTAATAACTCTCAATCGCAAATATCGGTACTCGTTTATTCAAAACGAATGAATCATTCCATCGTAATCATAATTCAAAAATCTGCAGAATAATAATCCATTAAAAAAAAGAAATAGAAAATATTAGCATACATGCGACAATTAACATAACCTACTGAAAACTGTCATTTGAATAGTCTGAAGTTGTATAGTTATCTTCTTTTTATTTTTTTACCTAAGCGGAGTTAAACTGACCCAGGGTTCTTCTGGTTTCGTATTCAGGATTCAGGAGGCCCATGGAATTGGTGACATCAAGGTTTAATCATTGTCACAAGGAAGGAACCGCAGTCACAATATTCGGTTGAGGACGCCAAGCAATCTAGGTATAATTTCTATAGCACAAATGCCATAAATTACTGAATATTTAGCTACTAACATTACCGGCATGACAACCATATCACAACAGGTTACAAGGATGAATTTATAGTCAATAATATTTAGTTCAATCAAATAAAGTTGAAAACTCGGAAACTCTCTCGCAAAAACTTCAATGATGTGAACCTTTTTATATTCACCAATATCAAATATTATTTCAAATGTTGAAATAACAAGAGTTTTTTTGGTGACATTATATATTAGATCAAACGTAAACGGCCAACATATTCTGTAACCTTGTCAACGTTTCTTCTGTCGAAAAGGGAAATATTCAAAATACTTTCTTTATACAACTTATGGCTGACTCACACACTAAAATTTTACTTTATAGTCGGGATTGATGTACTGTAAAATTTCGGGAGAAAAATAATGTTTTCAAATATCGAATCAACAAGTATTTCAAATTACTCTTCAACAATGAAAAAACCTAAAACTTGTTTAAATTGAAAGGTGTATATTTTTAGGAGAGAATAATTTTTGGGAAAGAAAGGTTTATTATCCATATCTGTATGCAAAAAATGTGGGAATCTTCCAAAGAAAGAAAGGAAGCCAAAATCTTTATTTATCTAAATCTTCTTCTAAGAATAACTTCGAATGGATACTAGATGAAAATCCATATCGAAATTCACTTATGAGATTCATTTTGATTTTCACCATAAAAAATTTGCAAACCCACGACACGTGTTTCGCTATAAAATAGCTCCCTAAAGCAGTATTTGATTAACTACTTTTAGACTGGAACATTTTATAGTATCATATAACTATTCCCCTGGCTAATACCACGAAGGACGTTGGATTATATCTAACAGGTGTCAGTGCAGGAATCTTCACAGAAGTATTTCCAGCATATCCCAACACCCTTCGTGATATTAGCCGGGGATATAGTTGGTTTCTGATAGGTATCAGTCCATTAACCTATAGTGTAGGTAAGTCAAGACAGGTCTGAACAAATTGTTCTTTTAATTAAGTTGATTTACAGCCGATATTCAAGTATGCCCACTGAATATATGTGAAGGTTTCTTTCCTTTTGGATATGCAGTTGCTTTCAGTACCTTGTTTACCATATGGAGCGATGGCAGATTTGTTGTTTGTCATTCGCTTCAGCTTGGTTAGAGGAATGATACTCTGAAAGGAATACGATTTTCAATTATGGAATATCATCAACTTCACGTTGATGATGGCCACTAACTTGCACTGACGAGAGGCCAAATAACCCGAATCCGGTGTGCAAGTGTGCCCGTTTCTATAATTGAAAATCGATTCCAGCAGTTCTATAGCCAACAGCAGCAGGAAATACTTCTGTGAAGATTTCTGCACTGACACCTGTTGGATGTAATCCAACGCCCTTCGTGGTATTAGCCAGAGGAATAGTTGTTTTGTGATAGGTGTCAGTCCATTAACCTACACTACAGTGTAACTGAGTCGAGGCTATCCTAAACAAATTGTTCCTTTAGTTAATTTGATTTACAGCCACTCGTTCAAGTATACCCACTGAATATTTGTGAAAATTTTATAATATCTCTCTCTGTTTTATTCTCAATTGATTCCGGGCAGACGCTTTTCGCCAGATTTCATATTTTTATAACTTATGGTCTACGATTCGATCAGTCTAGTTTTAACTATCTGACTGAAGAGATCGGATACATTCATTTCTTAGCTATTATAAAAGTAGGTAAATACTCATTAACTAGTAAAAATTATGTGAAAAACAAGTCAAGTTAAAAAATATTATTAACTAGTTGTTGCCCGCGGCTTCGTCCGCGTAGAATTTTGTTTGTCACCATTTTAAACAAATAGTTGCAATATTTTTTATTAACCCAAAACTTTAGGTTTCCAACTTCAAAACTGACGAAATTCAATATAATCTTTGAACAATTATATTTCCTCCTTGGGGTGGAAATTCCTGTTTCCCTTTCTTGATGCTTATTTACGCTATACAAAGAACCTACCTGCATATTTCAAGATTCTAGGTTCAGGATTCCCAAAACTAACACAACTGTCAACGACGTCTGCCCACGTTCTCGGCGATGGCGCTTTATTGCTTAGACCACCCCTCTACCCCCGCGTATCTACCTCCGTCGTCTTACAGTAGACGCAACTGGTAATGGTTTATTGCGTTGCATCAGGTTCGTCTTATCGTGATAAGTTTTAAATGATTTGCCCAAATTACTTAGTGTAAAAGACAAAGTTTATCTATATTAAATACTTGAAACGACAATTGTGCATTGTAAAAAAAGTATTCAATTCAATTGTATTTATGGCTCAGTATTTTGCATACAGTGGCTACGACATAAGAGGTGGATATATGCTATTACGGACTTTTTAGAACTATTTAAGATAAACAATCTTACGGTACATTATCTGCATGTAACTCCAACGGTATAGGCAGCACACGTCAAAATAGCTCTCACCCATCCTCACAAACTTTCACATTTATAATACAAGTGTAGACATAGACTGATTTTCTGGGGCGACAAAGCATACTTATCTGGTTCTGGTGAGAACATTAAGTACCTGAAAATGAATTTTGAATTCATAATTGAACTCATATCTGTCTGTTTGTAAGAAGATGCGTCGGACTGTAGATCATAGTAATGTTTTTATTGAATTTCTTCAAACCGCTAGGGATATGCCTCATATAACTCCATATGTTTAGGAAGAGGGGAAGAGTTTTTCATTGGAAAATCAAATGGAAAATGTTCAAATTATTTAAAATTAAAACATTCAAAAATATCAAAACGGACTCTGATTAAATTTTCATCCGGATATGAAATTTCATTTCAAAAAACCTAACTCTGACAAGACACGCTTTTACTCAGTACCTTGTATATTGGTAAATATTTCAAAAAAGCTCAATGCATTGTAATCCAACACATTTATTCAAAACATTTTTTTGGTAACTTCACTTCTTCAACTCAAACTTTCTAATGGAATCTCATCGCTGTGACAATGTATTTTCAGCAAGTTGGTTTAGTATTCAATAATGAAAAATATTCATCAAGTAGGTACCTACTCTTTTATGTAAAACCTAATATTTATCTGCTTTATTAATCACATGTGATATATAGAATCAAATTACAGATAAGACATATCAGCACTGACATAAGAATGGTGTTTATCTTTCTAATGGCCGCATCAGTGGTTAACCACGAATGATTCAAAATTATTTCCACTTATTCATAATTGCAATATTAAATTAATCACTCATTGAATATACTATTTGACTATTTCAGCACTTACAGTTTTTTGTTTTCATATTTGTTTATGGCGTCATACAAAATTTATTGTACCTACTTGTGAATCAATTATGGGTAAAAATTGATTTTTCCATTGACCAACATTACCATTGAAAACTCTCAAAAAATGAATCTTATGTGAGCTAAGACTCAATGAAATCTTGTCTTTAACATGCACGTCCTAGCATTAGTTAGTTGATACGCAATGAACACAAGGATTGGCATATGAACAATTCACATGACACACTCGCTAAGAGTATATTTTGGTAGGTAGGTACTATACAAGTCATCAATAAGTCTCAGTAACCATCTGACTTCCGAATTAATTGGCAACATTCAGTTTTTTGATGTCTTCCTTCGTCCATTTTTCGGTTTTTTCCTTTTTCCATCCAATTATCCGAACTTAAAGACAAAATTACCTTCCGGACAATGCACATTCACAGGTCTAATGGGAGGACAGCTGACCAAAATACTTAAGTAATCATTTTCATATACCGGGTGTCTCACATTTTATGTGACAGGCAATATCTGGTTTGTTGAAGGAGATACACAAAAATGTTTCATACAAAAGTTTTAGGAGTTCATGAGAGCTATATTTTGATATAATTTTTAAATATACAGGGTGTTTGGTGTAGTTGCTACAGACCAAAATTTCATTTTTTAAAATAGAACGCCCTGTATATCATTACATATTCAGATGCTACGTTAAATTCTGATATTATTTCATGTTTGGTTTTTGAAATTCGGTTACGGCGTTGTTGAGTTATTGCACTTTTCCTTAAATATAAAGTTTCAAAAAAATTTATTTACTCGTACACGAATCCAGTCTATATCTTTTATTAAATTGAACTAGACTATTACTGAATACAAACCATTATTCTCACCTCTACGATACGATATCGATATCAGTTGAATATAATATTGAAATTCTTGAGAATGTGACTAACTTGAGGGTGAATTGCTTTATATTGCACAATTTCATCAAGTAGCTTATGCTTGTTGATGCCATAGTAACAAATGTTGTTGAATTGTATCTACTTGTCAGTTCGATTCAGTGATTCTTTGCAAAACAGTAACTGTGTTCTTTGTGCGAAAACTCCAGTATGCCTTTCGCGTTTAGTCCAAGTGATTGCATTGATATGTTATTAATTTTTGGGGAATGTCAGAAAAACTGCCGTCAAGCACAACGTCTATACCAAGAACGTTTTCCAGACAGACCCATTCCGTCACGAATGACTTTTTCGAGAGTTGTAGAAAAATTGCGAACTGGGTCATTTCCTTCTACTATAAAGCATCGTCATCATACGAGATCTGTTAGAACTGAAGATTTAGCCAATGTGAAGCCAATGTGTTGGCTTATATTATTATTCATCCACGTTTCTATCCGTACTCTTGCAGAAGAAGTCGGTGTGTGTAAATCTAATGTACAGAGAATTCTGAAAGAAAATAAATACCACCCATTCAAAATTCAGTTGGTACAAGGTTTGAAACCCACGGACTTTGAACGACGACTTGAATTCATTCATTGCTTGTTTTCATTAATAAAATATTGTTTCAAATATCGCTTTGTGTCCCTTAATAAACCTTTTTTGGCCATTTGATTATCCGGACAACGGTTATCCCAATTGAGTGAGTTCTACTGTAGTTAATATTTCAGAAACAGAGATAAACGACACAGTCAATGTAATTTAATCACATTGGTTAGTTGAATTCGAGTATTGGATAATATATCGTGTGCTCCATTTGAAGATACAAACGAAGATGTATTTTTGAAACACTCAGTATGATGCATCTACATTCATATGGGATGAAAAGCATCATAGAACGTAGTGCAGAGATCAGAAAATACCTCTTCAGACACCTTGAAGACTAACCTGATATCGTTCGTCGCATTGCTGAATTAAAAGCTTCAGGCACCTGTGCAACGTCTTCGATTTTGCAGGTGGCACAGTCAACATACCAGTGAATCAACTGCAGAGAGTTCATGACTAGCTGGAATTATATTTGTTTGGCCATGGTACTCAGACGGTTCACTCCGTTCTGAAGAGACCATGCCCGGTAGTGAAGATGAGGCAAGTATCCCGAAACCAGACTATCGATTGGTGTACTGACCAAATGAAATTAACTTCTGCTTTTCATAGTAGGAAGTAACTTGCAACGAATCTTCCAAATCAAAGACGTTGTACATATGCCTGATGGTTTTACTTCAGCTTTCTGCACGACATCAGCTGGGTTAGTTCTAGTTTTTCTGTCGTGTATCTGCCACATGTACTTACAAAGTCGTAGGTCTACATGAGAGGCAAGGGGTAAGGTGTTTTCCACCTGAACCTAGAGCATATATATTTATATTTCAAGAGTATGAATACCAACATAATAAAAAAAGACAATCGGATTCTACAAACCCCTGAAATTTCTGAATTCCTGCATTTTCTGACCTTTCTTACCTGTATATGATATTATATTTGAAGATTCCAAGTTGATGCCTGTTACAAGTATAGGTAGGAAATACTCGAAGGTAAATATATCCTTTTTGGCTATACAAATATGTCCAATAGAGCATTTTATTTGGAAAACCTATATGTGTTCATATACCTTTTCCAATTTATTATCACATAGTCACTTAATTCCCAAATGTTTTTTTTAACAACCTGTTTGTTATATGACTGCTATATGCTATATACTCTATATATGAACTGTTAAGAAGAAAAATAAGAGAGCATACTTAGTCACTGTTTATTAGTGATAAATGATCAAATATTCACATTCATACTTTGGTTACAGAAATTTGAAACTTGTTAGGACATATCTACAAACATAATGTACAATATCAAGTTTCACCAAAAATATTTCAAGTTGTTGCCAAAATAGTGGCATTATTGACTTAGATCATTTATTTCTCCATATAAAAACTTTGAAAAATATTTCAAGTACCGTTAAAATGTAATAAATAATTACTGATATATTAGAACATACATAAAAAGGAAGGGAACATGTTAACGTACATTAAGTGCATTCTGGTTGTGGCTTGCAAGACAGCCGATGACTAGGGCGCACACACTGAGTTTGTAGGCATATACCTATTCGCAGGTGACATACACATCGGTACGTATGGGTACAAATGGACGGGCTTTAGATGCCTTTGTCTGTACCCTCCCTCATGCATCAGTCTCACCTCCTTTTAACCTCAACCTAGCAAAATCTTCGAATATTATGTCGTCATCGTGATCCTGCATATTATTCTCATCAGCATCAAGTTGTATAAGGTTGGTATCCACTGGTATATCATTTCTGATATCTTCGCTCACACGCCTAGATGGAGTAGCAGGAGGAATAATTTCCTCCTCTGGTTTTGGATGCATAAGAATAAATGGGAGTTCAGCAACTAAATCTCCTCCTAATGCGCCAAGGCACAATTTAACCTTAACCTTATACTGGACAATAATTCCTAAGTTTTCTCGTTGTGATAGATCAGCTACCAAAGTACTCGATGCCAAGTTAGTGTCTTCATGCTTTAATTGACCATCAAGGGCAAGACCCCACTTGTCTTTGTTATTTGCCAGCAATGGGGTAAGTGTAAATATTTTATTTAATGTAAACCCTGGGCCAATAGGACAAGCCTCTTCACTCTCAATTTCAGCAACTGTGCATTTATATTGAGCTGTTGAAAACAGACAAATATCCGCAAATTGTCTAACGGATACTTTGATTTTCTTAACTGTGCGGTTAGAGTTATTAGCTATATGGACATTCACAGCAATAACTTCGCCATGATGGTATAATTTTTTATCCAGAGAAGCTTCTAAATGCAGTTTATTCGGACTCATCATAAACTCTTTACTGACCTCAACTGAAGGCTGCTCCCCTTGTTTACTTGGGGCATACATTATCTTTCTTATAGCTAGCCTCACTGAATTCCTCTTATGGGGTTTGTCTTCTTGACTTTCTCCAACAAACGCTTTAAGTTCATAATCAATCCCACATGGTTTTCCAGTATCACCAGGAGCAGGCTGAAGGGTAACTGATGCTGGGCAATGGGGAGGTAATTCAAAATAAAAAGGGAAAGCATTCGATCCCAGTTTTTTTATTAATCGTTCTTGAAGCCGGGTTAGAGGTCTTGGGTTTTGTGCAGTAGTTTCTTGTGGATATATCTGCTCAGCAGCTAAGTACAAATCTTTTCGAAACGTAAGTCCCAAAACATCTAAATCTTCTCTACCATACCTAAATGCAGCCAATACATGACCAAATACTTTTCGATCTTTCATATAATCCGGATCAATGAGGACCACTCCATCTATAGGATCTACATAAGATATGTGATCAACAAAATCTCGTTTACCTAAATAGACTGTAATTTTCCCATTTGGTGAACTCTTCTTGAAAACTCTAGTTGCTTGACGTTTGCTACCAACATCGTCCATGTCGGGACTGGAACCTGACTTGAGCTGTTGATCCGAAGGGGAAAGTAAAGGCACCTCGTGCCCCTCCAGTCTGTCGAAGTGTGCAGAATGACACTTTAGGAACAAATCAAACCCTGTAAAAAATAATAATATTCATTTTTTTTTCTTCACAAAATATGAGAAAAATCATAAGCTACATAATCATTGCAATAACACATAAAACACTTTTTTGCCTCTAGGTTTCTCAAAAAGTAGCAGACACTTGTAAATCAACAACTTAATTCAATTATCCAAAATAAAAATATTCAAATATCACTGTAGTAAATATTCCACTGGTTTACTTCACTTTTTATTTTTGGGGTATTTCAGACCAACTTGATTGCTCTCGATAACTTTTCTGTAATATATACATTAAATGGAGGATTTTGAAGAGGTTTTGCCATGATACCTGTCAGCCCGTATGATTGATTATCGCTGCCAGTACATTCTGAAAATATGGCGGAAATTAAAGATGGCGGAAAGTGATCAGATGTGTGCAAATGTGCTCTTCGCAGTATGTGAAAAAAAAAAAATTCAATAAAAAGCCATTTCAATGTTTTCGAACTTAGACTACAAAACGTAATAGTATGTGTAAATTGTAGAAATGTCAGCACATGTCATGTGCATAAGAGAATAAACTTAAATATACTAAAATTTATGACTCAAGGATCGTTTGTTGCGAGACTAGTCTTCCATCACAAATAAACAAACAATATCCATCAAATATATTCAAGAAACACTTCATTATGTGATTTTCACTACACTATTTTACAAAAATGCAACACATGTTTTGCTAAACAAAAGCTTCTTCTCCTATGGTTTAGACATGGTGAAAATATCACAATAAAGTGTTTCTTGAATAAGTTATAGATTTTCATCAAGCATCGGCCGATTCTATTACGTTTATACGTCAGAGGTAAAAAACGGAAATACCATTTCTGAAACAACTCCTGAAAGAAAATGAATAGAAATATGATTTAATAATGGAAAATATGTCTATCAAAAATAAACTTTGAATCCTTAGAAGAGAAAGTTAATGTATTGAAAGCAAGCTTCAGAACATGAAAAAGTTCAACAAAGAGTTTCCTGCTAACCATCCAAGAGTGAGCATCGATTGTTGGCGAAGACTGAATTAAGGCGTTTGAAAGAGATTACAGGTGTGCATATCATTACTAACACTAACCCATTAACCAGTTAATATAGCAGAAGCACCAGGTATTTCAAACACAAAAGGTCACAAAAAATGAATAAAGTAAATAGCAATGAAGACAATCAAGGAAAAAAAGGGAGATAATTCTATACAAAGAAAGGGTTTTAGGACCTTGAAATTGCAAAAGATTCGTTGGAGGACGAAGCTACATTGCCTCCTCCGGGTGAATCAAGCTCAGATTTATCTTTTGACGAAGATGAAAGGCCTCAACTATTTTATCAAGGTGAGCTCAATGATTTAGTAAGAGATTTATGTCTTTCAAAAGATGCAGCCGAACTGTTAGGTTCTAGATTAAAAAATAAAAACCTTTTATCACCTGGCACTTCTTTCTACTGGTACAGACACCGAGAAAAAGAATTTACCCAGTTTTTCTCAAAAGAAGGAAATTTAGTTTTCTGCAATAATGTGGAAGAACTCATACATCGCTTTGATATAAAGTATGACTCATCTGAATGTTTGTTGCGCCTATTCATTGACTCATCTAAGACTAGCCTTAAAGCAGTATTATTGCAAAATGGAAATAAATTTGCCTCGATTCCGATTGGACATTCTGTGCATATGAAAGAAGATTATAACGATTTGGCTATTATCCTGGAAAAAATCAAGTATCAAGACCATTAATGGATGATTTGTGGGGACTTCAAAATATTGACAATGCTTTTGGATCAGCAAGCAAGTTATACCAAATATCCATGCTTCTTATGCTTGTGGGATAGCAGAGCCAGAGAACAGCACTGGAAAAAAGTGATGGGCCATCCCGAGAAACTTTAAAACCTGGAGAGAAAAAATGTTATAAACACTATCTTGGTACATCAGAAAAGGTTTTTTTGCCCCCTCTCCATATCAAATTGTATCAAAATAATGTTTCGTTTGCTTTAAAAAAATATTTGTTTGAAAATTTTGATTAAAGGAGTGTTTTGACCAATTTTTTGTGTTTGAATTTGCAAAAAATCCTTATGTGATAGAAATCAGCGCACTTTAAAACATATAATTCAGTAAAAATATCTCATGCAGTTGACAAATTTTTTTTTTTCGCAGACCTGTGTTATTAGAAAGTGTTATGAATCATTCTTTGGTTTACCAAAGAATGTAAAACTAAAAGTACTTGATGGAACACCCGAATATAACAGAAGAAATACTAGAAATGACTTGCGAGTCAAACTCAAGTCATGCCAAATACTAAGATGGGATCTTACCAATTAGCAATGCTCAAAATTCTTCAATGGAACATTAGGAGTGTGTATATCTAGCAACAAGGGTAGGTAATCTAAAGAATTGCATCCATGAAGCAAAACCGTATGTCATTTTATTGAATGAAACATGGTTAAAAATGATCCTAGATTTTATATCAAACATTATATATACGACGGTATATCCATCCTAGTAAAAAGTAATCTCAAATTCAAAAAGATAGATTTGGAAGTGATGACTGAAAATAAGAATGTCAGGTAATCACTATCAAATTACAAGGTATCGATTACATATATTACTGCTAATAATATTTCATCAAATTCTCAATTGACCAAAATGCTGAAGAAATTAGAGGGTGTTATTATATGGATGAGGGATATGAATGCCCACCATCCCTTGTGGGACAGCACTTGTATTAACCATAATGGTAGAGTCATTATATCTATATTGGAGGGTGAGGAATTGGTAATTATGAATGATGGCATGAAAACACGAATCCAGAAAACAACCCTAGTCCTGTTGATATTACGTTAGTATTGAGCAGATTGGCAAGGCATGGTACATGGGAAGTCCTGTGTGTCATGTGTACCTATTTGCTTAATACTATTTTGATGTGAGATAACAACAAAGAGGAGTTATAATAGAGCCAATTGGAATGACTATCATACACACCTTCTTAATAGAAGTGATATTACTACAACATACTCTTATGAAGAGTTGACGTTCTTGATGAATAAAGCAGCAGACTCATATCCAAAAACAAAATAAAAATAGAAATAAACTTTAAAGCCCATGGTGTGATAGTGAATGTGGTGCTCAAGCGATAAAAAAAGTAACATTGAAAACTTTAATATCAATTATATAGCAGCAAAAAATCGATTGTGTTTACCAAGAGGTTATCTAGTAAAAAAAAAACTTTGGACTCCAAATGTTTTCTTCAACTCTCAATAGAGAATCAAATCCATCTTATGTTTTCGGTATGTTGAAAAGGTTTTCAACTAAAAATGGAACAAATCAAAATAGATCATTTGAAAAGCATATGGCTGAAAGATTGCTGAATGAAGTTTCTGTTTGTGATATAACCACGGAATTTTCTATATCACAAATCGATAACAAATCTGAACCCTTTACTATGAGAGAATTTGATTTAGCGCTACAAATAAAAAATATTCAAAGCCAGAACGGGATGATATAACCTATAGCACAACGGTCGGCAACAGGCGGACCGCGAAAGGTCGAACCTAGGACCGCCAAATATTGTAATATGTTATATACCAAGTATAAATTTAATACGTAGATAAGGTATACTATACCATTACCAATTAAAGTAATATTTTTAAGCTACTTAGCATTCAACTTAGTATGTACTTATTTTATTTCAAGTTGCCTAGTCAATCTGTTTCACAAGTACCTACAACTGATATGGTTTCATTAGTTTCTCATCTACCCTGTGTGTGTGTGTTTGTGCGCGCTTGCGACTGTTTTGTTAAAACAAGCGCGAGTGAGTATTGAAATTGGGGGTGAGGGCGTGTGAGCAGGAGAAAGCAGACTCATTCATTTGTTTTGTGATTTTTTGCGTTTTCATATTTTCGTACCTATGCTAATATGGATCCTAAAGAGTGTAAAGTGGACATGAATAACGCCTTTGCCTTGTATGTCTTTTGCCTTGTATGTCCTTTGCCTGGTATGTCCTTTGCCTTGTATGTCCTAGCCCGTAGGCCTTACATCAGGCATCTTCCCATTATCTATCGCCACCACTGTCAAGAGAACCCCAACTTTTCCGAACCCACCTCCTCCCCGTACCACCGTTGGAAGAAGGATAGTAAAGTGGACAGTGAAAATATGGGGTTTCTGGTAGAATGGACTGAACAATATTGTTTTACGCTGCCTGATAGGCCTCAAGAGGTTCCAGTGTGCCTTGTATGCAATAAAACTATTGTTAAGAGTGGTAATTTGAAGCAACACTACGAAACCACTCATTAGCAATTTCACAAAAACTTTCCTCTTGGCAGTGAGGCTCGTAAAGAAAAACTTAATCTCAGTTCTTACAAAAAAAGCACGAAATTACTAGTTCGTTGCATGAGAAAGCAAGAAAAATCCACAGAAGCAGCGTTACGTGTGTACTGGACGCTAAATCATTTTCAGGGCTAGTAACTTCGGCAGGTGAGTTGTTACACACTCCTTGGCGGATTCCGACTTCCATGGCCACCGTCCTGCTGTCTTAAGTTACCAACGCCTTTCATGGTATCCCATAAGCGTCGAAACACCAAAAACCATTTTCAGATTCTGAGATGGTGAAGGAATGTTTGTTTGAAGTAGTCACGGTACTTTTTGGAGGAAAAAAAGATGTCGCTGCATTTCAAAGTATTCCATTATCAGCGAGAAGTAATACACGAAAAACGGAAATTTTAGCTGCGGACATTAAAAACACTCTTCTTGAACTGCTGCAAAAGGCACCTTGCTACGCCATAGCACTTGATGAATCATGTGACATTGTTGATGATGAACAAATGTCAATTTTCGTGAAATTTTTTTTGAGTGTCAGATTTTTAGAGAAGAGTTGCTAGCAATATTACCGTTGAAAGGTAACACTCAAGGAGAAGACTTATTCAAGGCCATTGATGATTTTATTACGAAATATAACATCAGTTATGATAAAATGGTTTCGCTATCAACTGACGCGGCCCCAGCAATGATTGGCAAAGAAAAAGGTGTAGTAAAGAGAATCAGGGATACAAACTAGGGTATAATACCGTATCAGTGCACAATTCATCAGGCAGCCCTTTGTGAAAAGCTCAGTACTACACTGAAAGAAGTGATGAACAGCTTGGTCAAGTTGATTAATTTTATGAGGTCTCATTCTACTCTTCAGCACAGACATTTCAAGGAGCTACTTTCTGAATGTGATTCAGCGTATTCTGACTTACTGCAACACAACAATGTTCATTGGCTAAATAAAGGTCAAGTTATTGAACATTTCTGGCTGATAAAAGAAGAAGTAACCTTCTTCTTGCGAAACTTTGATACGGAGGGAGCTAGAAAGCACTTTTAGTTCATAACAAACAAGCGTAATATGCTGGTCGTGGCTTTTTCTAAAAGATATTTTGAAATATTTAAATGCGCTCCACACAGAATTACAAGGAAATGGAAAATTAATATGTGATCTGATACAAAGCGTGTCTGCTTTTTGGTGCAAGCTGGATATTTTTGAGAAATATTGCAAGACAAGATTTTACTCATTTTCCGACAATTCTTGAATATAAAAAGAACTCTGAAGAAGACATTACAGTGTTTATAAAATTTCTGGCCGATCTTAGGAGGGAATGTGCTACAAGATTCCAAGATTTTGCAGAGATGGGCAAGCTACTTCCGTTTCTTAAATCGCCATTTGAAGTTGATGTAGCAGCAGACAGATGTAGCTGTCAAGTTGTTCAATCTGTAGAAGGCATCACTCCAAATAGAGATAATTGATTCGCAAGAAGATGTGTCTTTGCAAATGTATAAAACGGTGTCTACTGAAAAATTTTGGGCCAAACATGTTCCAGAAAAAAAATGAAAATTGCAAGAAACTAGCTATAAAATTGGCCACTATGTTTGGCTCGACATACGTATGTGAAATATATTTCTCAAAGATGAATTTTTTGAAAAACAAATATCGTTCAAGATTAACGAACGCCCACCTAGAAGACACAATTCTAATTTGCTGTTCCTCTCGAGAACCAAACTATAAAAAACTTGCTCAAGACCGTCGGTGTAATTTCTCACATTAATTTTATGTCTTGTGTTTTATAATTCAGAATTTGGTTTGAAAACAAAATGCTACATAGGTAGCACTTCATTTTTATCATTTGTTTTTTTCTGGACCTTGTCACCTAAAACTACTTGCCTCCCCTGCTATAGCACATTCATTCACCTACCAGTGATGATTAGTTTGGAATTATTTCTTCATTTTCTTGATTTTATTACCATTGAAATGTTTTGTTATGATGTTGTTGAAAAAAAAAAGAGAATTTAGGCAAAGACGCACTACTGGTTTGAACAGGAGCCTATCAACAAATTATGTTTGATCACAGAGATTTGGTGTTCCGCTCAGATATGTTGTAACAACAGCAGTGAATAATCCCCACATAAGCGTATCTGAAGAAATACAAATAGTTGAGTCTTTAAAATCCAGGAAAATTATCAAAATGCCTGACCCTAATCAAGTTGTGACAGAAAGTGACGTGTCTCTAAGGAATCGACTAAATCTACGAAGATACATTCTATCACAACTAGACCAACGAACAAATCCAAACAGAGAATTGCAATTGTGGAAAGAGAAATGCAATTGAAATGAAAAAAAGGAAGACAAGAATTACAAGAGAGCAGACGAATCAAGTATGAGCTAGAAGAGAAAAAAAGGTATCTGGAGAACAATTTGCGGCTTCAGAAGATGCAAGAAGAGCTTCAAAATGCAGAGTTAAAAAGTATTGATGAATTATATTTTTCTGAAAGTTTACGTACAAACCTGAGTTGAGTATCAAATGGCGAGAAAGTAGTAAAATGGATAAATGATGAATTAGATCCAACAGACAGATATACAATTAATCTATGAAACTATCACTAAGTCCTTAAGAAATGTTTCTCAAGCTACTCCATCTATAAAGGCCACTATTTATTTATTTTATTCAATATAACTCCACAACACAGTAGACTCAATGCAAATGATTTAGTATTTATGGTAAAAGGAAATTAGAAAACAAAATTAAGCAGAGTTTGCATAATACAAATCAATGGCTGCTTGAATATGAGTTAGATCTTTCCACCCCCAAGCAAAAAGTAAATCCGTGAATATTAATTGATTAGAGTAGTAAATGAAGTCAAATATTTGGGCGTGACCTTTACCTAAATCTTGAATGAGATAAGCTTGTGAAAAATATGATACACAAAGCTAATCATGGTATAAATACTATGAAATGTTTTTGTAGGGCATGGTGAGAGTCAGACCCCAAATCCATGATTATGGCTCTGAACAGATTAGTCAAAGCACACTTAGATTACAGCAGCATTTTATTGTGTCCTTGTTCCAAAAACCGAAACGAAGAGGGAATTAACATAAATAAAGTACAATTATTCAACATGAATTTAAACAAAGCTACAAATTCCAAAATTTGATTCATCAAAATAGGAAAAATGCTCTTATTACAATTGCATCACTCTGTCTGATACACTTCCTGACTATACCCCAAAATAGTTTTTAAATCTTTTTTTTAATTCAGGGGTTTACTCTACTCGTTCAATGAAACAGTGGTTCAAGCCTTTCAGCTACGCAATTGATTTTCACTGCATATTACATATTCTTATTCACCTTTTTTTTCTTTATCTAGAGGTATATAATACTATGTCTTAGACCAATTGTAAGGTGAGTTACTCACTTTCAAAATTTAATAAACAGTTGATGAAATGAACTCTTTAAAAAATGAAACTGATTCATACTGTTCTTTTGTAAAATTATGTGACATAGTATTCTATACCTCTGACATACAGAATTAGAATCCTCATTCCTTTGAAATAACTCCTACAAGAAAACGTTCATGGGATAAAAATGGCTGGATTATTGCTCACAAAATACAGAAGTTTTCAGCAAAAACTGCGGTTTTTATAGTGTATGTTGTTGTTCAATTGATGATATATAATATTTATCTACACCATGAGCCACAGTTGAAGCTTTTTGGCCCATTGTTAGTATGATGCAGCCAAGTGCAAGAATGGGCAAGACGTGGTTGCCAAAAGAAGTACAAATACACGGAGCTACAGTGTGGTGTATTACAAACTTACAGAATCATTTTGCTAAAAACCTCTGCTGAAGCCATAGTCAACTAAAATGAACATATACAAATAATATAGTCCTATGTACTGCAAATAACGTCTTCAGCAGAAAAAAACACTGCAAGTGATCATCTCCTCACACACATAACAATTTTTTTATGTTCTCGACAAATATTTTTCTTTTGCATTGATTGATATAAATATTGCAGAAACTACCTCTTTGTGTCAAATACACCCAGAAGTTTGAAAATATGAGGACGAAATTTACTGGGAGATTAATGGGGAACACTGGGTGAAAACAAAATGTGATCCATCAACATAAATCAATCCTCCTTTCTTCAAAATTTTACATCTATCCAATTCAACAGTAACATAAATATTTGATAAGAAAATAAACACAATTTGAACATAATTCTAGGAAGCAATCAACATTTATTTTGTGATTAATTTCAAAGTTTCCTCCCACCAGCATCATGTTAAAATTTATGAGCCACTCCTAATTAGGCATCCCCTATAGATAATAAGTTATGAAAATATACTACGTATTTTGCACTACTAATCGTCACACATGATTTATATTCAGTTTACTTTATAAACCCCTTGTCCAAACTGAACATCTAAATAACAAATTTTAGACATCTAGAAAAAACAAATGTCTCACCACTAGATATACTGCTTCAAAAATTTGTTCAAGATTCACATTGACTTCTTGCAAGTGGCGAAGTATTGCCGAATGCACGGGATTAGGAATTTTTACTGGCCATTCCCTATATTTGAGTGATTTGAGTCATGAAATCAAGAATCAAGCAGAAGAAAATTTCTAGACAACTGTCATTGGTCAACCACCTGTCAGCTTCACATGTCATGTCAGTGTTCTATAAAAGCTGCATTCGAGTTAACGCTCTCTGGTACGTAAACTTACCCCGGGGTGGAACAACGTCACTCACAAGAGTTAATAGCAGTGTAGCACTCTCTCCACAGCACAAACTCCGACAGATCTGATCAACGGAACTGTCGGGAAGGAACAAAGTTGTTACAACGAATATGCTTCCTGTTCCAATCTTACTCTACTTATTTGGAGTAGTGAAGTGGACTCGTGAGGAGCTGTATCAATTCGACGTAAGAATCCGAAAAATGATGCACCTTCATAGGAGCTGCTGCCCGAGCAGCTGGTGAGTTCGGTTTAGTTTTCGACCCCGAATGAAGTGTTCACAACTATGTCACCGAGTTGGAACTCGTTCAGCAAAAGGTCCATATAAAAGTCGCAGAGATCACTTCACTTCTGCGGCAACACAAGGATAAGCCAATGCACGGAGTCTTCATCATCAACATTGAAGACCTTGGATCGTCAAAAGGCCTGACCTTCGCTTTTATCAGGTCGAGTGAGCTGAAGTCGAAAACTGAGGGATTCATCATGGCCTGCCAGGATGGTGTCTTCAACATCTCAGTCTACCGCAGTCGTGTGATGAAGTATAAAGGTTCCTGACACAAGGTGCAAGGCCTACAGCGAGGCATCTGAGACCCTGATTCATTTGCTGTTAGCATGTCCAGCATAAGCGGTCTCAGCATAAGAGTGCTTTGATCTATAAGAGAATTATTTCACACACTATAAATACAACAGCTGAATCAAATTAACATCAATTTTTATACTATTTTTTTTAGCGAATGTTTGACATCATTTAATGAATTGATATTATTCATAAAATGATAGTTACAAATAATACAATATTATTTTGAAAATATCCATATAGGAAGAAACTGCAGTAACGATAGTTACAAATAAAAGTTTCATTTCTTATTTTCCACGATGATCTCCTATCACGTAGTAACGGCAACCAACATCAATCAATTTATTTACTTTCTCCTCATGATAAAATAGTTCATTCCATTTACATTTTCCACTTGTCGGGTCAAAATCATTTAGTTAAGACATTTTAGTTAAAACTCTGAAAATTAAAATACAAGTCTGAAAACTGTCTAGGAAAGATATCAATGTTTTAAGAAAACAAATATTTCGAATTAAATATAAAACATTCGCCTTTTCCAAGACAGTGGAGAATCTGACCGCTATCGTCGTTTCTGTATTGAATTAATACCGTCAAGGAATTTGCAGGTTGGAAAGCAAAACTATTTGACTAAAATTGTCTTTTGTGCTCGACTTGAAATGTTTTCTGGCTTGCTTGAGTAAGTTAAACCAGAGGTTCCAAATTTTATTTGGTAATGGAACCCTAATAGATCATATATTTTTTGACGGAACCCCTAGCTGGTTATTTCGATAACCAAAGTATTTACTTAGTAGTTTCAGTGTTCACGTTACAACTCGAAGAAAAAAATTATAAATGAAAAGTAATCATCATAATGTAAAAACTATTTATTGTGAAGATGACATTTTTTAACATATTTTTATATAATAGTGCCCACTAATATTAGGTTTTATGTCCAACAGTTGGATGCGAAGATCCGAAGCTGCATCCAGTCTGTTTCTGTATTTATTTTTTTTGTGAACGTAAGCTGAAAATCCAGTCTTGCATCGGTAAGTCGTTACAAATGGAAGCTGAACTAAAATTGCTTTTTCAACGATTGCAGGGTATTTAGATCTCCGACAGAGCGCGCAGAACTCCTGTTACCTTTCTTATACTAATTTCAAGTCACGAATTAGTGTGAATAATACATATCAATTAGTAAATAATAATAAAAATATAGCTCTTCCTGATGAAGCTAGCTGAATAAATAATAGTTGATGTCCAACATTTACTTCTCAGAATCTGTGTGTCTCTTAGACATAAACCATTTCAACCCTGTAGTAAAACAACAAATTCTAGATTCACGTATTACTATTTGCCTGTCACAAAATTATTTTCAAAACAAAGAAGTTTCATTCATGTAGCGAAAGGCTAATAACGGGAAACCCTTTTGAGACCTTGGCTATTTGAAATTCCTATGGACAACATTGAGAATGAAATCTATAATAATCAGTTTCTTTACAGTTTCTAATACTGATATAGATACGTAGATGCTATCTCAGTCTGTTTCATTGGTACAGCTAGGTAGTTGAACACGTTTGTCGAATTTGTAAACTCCATTCATCGTCATTAAACTTTTGGAACCGGTATTTTTTAAGCCACTCATATGGCTACTTACTACTTACAGCTTCTAACTTTTGCCTGGAACCTGTACCTTCAATACATTTTTATTCATTGTTTCAAATATATGCTAAGGGTATACGAAATAAGAGAAAAATGTTCATTTTTATATATTAGCAGTTTATTTAACGATTCCTTCAATGTACCTATGTCAATCAAACACTAATGAAGTCGAAGAAATTATCATGAGCTTAAAACAAAAAAATATCACCTGGGCACTAAACTTTGAAAAATTTATCGGAAGAAATAAAAATTCTCTTGACCCATTTGTTTACTGCTGTCTTGATAGAGGTTACTTCCAAAAAGAGCTGAAGGTTGGATTCGTTGGAGGTCACAATTTTAAAATGAAGATGAATAACAAATGGAAAACTATAGACCAATTTCCCTCATTTCTAATATTCCAAAAATTGTATGAAAAATTATTAAAATCAGAATTTCTAGTTTTTGTAAAAAATTAATTCAATTTCCGAGTATCAATATGGCTTTAGAGTGGGTAAATCAACGGTATAAAATTCACTAGATACAAGCAACCCATCGCTTTTTATATTTGTTGGTCTCTCTGAAGCCTTTAATACTGTGAGCCATAAGAAATTACAAAAAAATGAAAAAGTATGGCATAAGAGCTAACATTCACAACATATCGTATCCAAAGAGTTCGTATTAGCGAGACTTTGAATGAACCAATGACTGTTACATAGGGAGTATCACGAGGAACGTCATTGGGCCCACTTTTGTTCACTCCATATATTAATAGATTATTAAATACAAAAACTCAAGGTAAAATTCTGAGTTTCACTGACGACACCGCTATTTTTTATGAATCTAAGTCATGGAAATCTTCGAAGTCAGAAGTGGAAGATGATTTCAATATTATAGACAAATGGTTCAGATATAATATTTCATTGATTATTAGTGAATAAACAGTAATATTATTATTAATGACGTTAGAAGTATGGCACCTAAAATTTCGTAAACCATCATATATAGTTATACACTGACCATGTTATAAACGAAATTTCTGAATGAATTCCAATTCGAAATGTCGTTATGAGACTTTTTTGTTTTCCATGAGATTTGCAGCAATATTTCCTTCGGAAACTGAACACAGCTGTGCGTCAAATGTCAATTTTAATCTACTTAAAATTTTGTTCCACAAAAAATACAAATAAGAAGAATAATATTGTCAAAAAAGAAGAAGAATAGAAACGTCATGAGATGAAAGTGTTCCCTTTTACTTTTTTTTCCATTGTACGTGTTGTGGGGCCCCAAAAATTGAAAAGTGGCTTATTTCTTCCAATCGTTAATAAAATGTCAACCGTGGCGGAAAAGAACTTAACCGTACAAATCGAGGAACAAGCGAATTTGGTTAGGACATTGAAATCTGCTAAAGAAAGTAAAGAAAAGATCGCAGAAGAAGTCGCGAAACTTTTGGCCTTGAAAGCCTCATTGAGTAATGCTAATGAAGACGTTGATAATGTGAAGGCAGATCAAAAATTAATTCTTAAAACTCCAAAAGGGACGAGAGATTTTTCTCCTGAACAGATGGCTCTCAGATTGGGTGTAATGGAAAAAATTGTATCTGTTTTCAAAAAACATGGAGCTCAAACAATTGACACACCAGTGTTTGAACTCAAAGAAGTTTTAACTGGAAAATATGGTGAAGATTCCAAACTTATCTATGATTTGAAAGATCAGGGAGGTGAAATACTGTCCCTCAGATATGACCTTACAGTACCATTTGCTAGATACCTCGCTATGAATAAAATAACAAATATTAAACGTTACCACATTGCCAAAGTATATAGAAGAGACAATCCGTCAATATCCAAAGGAAGATATAGAGAATTTTACCAATGTGATTTTGATATTGCTGGAGCTTATGACCCTATGATTCCTGATGCTGAATGTGTCAAGATAGTTTATGAAATTTTATCCAATCTTAAGATGTTACCATTTGTAATTAAATTGAACCACCGAAAGTTATTAGATGGAATATTTGAAGCATGTGGTGTTCCATTGGACAATTTCAGATCAATATGTTCAGCTGTTGATAAGCTGGACAAGTCTCCCTGGGAAGAAGTAAGGAATGAAATGGTCAATGAAAAAGGCCTTTCTGAAGAATGTGCTGATAAAATAGGGGAATATGTGAGACTTAATGGAAAAAGTGAACTTGTAGAAAAATTAATGGCTGATGAAAGTCTTTCTAAAACTAAGTCAGCTCTTGAAGGTCTAGAGGCCATGAAACTTTTGTTGAAATATTGTGAGATTTATGGTACTTCAGATAAAATTTTATTTGATTTAAGTTTGGCACGAGGTCTTGATTATTACACAGGAGTAATATATGAGGCAGTTCTTTTAGAAGACAAGTCTTTGCCAGGAGAAGTTTCTGTGGGTTCCGTTGCTGGAGGTGGCAGATACGATAATTTGGTAGGAATGTTTGACCCTAAAAATAAACAAGTTCCATGTGTTGGCGTTTCTATTGGAGTTGAAAGATTATTTGCAGTGATGGAGTCAAGGCAGTTAGCTTTGAATATGAAACAAAGAACTACTGAAGTAGAAGTTTATGTTGCAACAGCCCAAAAAAATCTGCTTGATGAAAGGATGAAACTTTGCAATGAGTTGTGGAATGAAGGTTTCAAAGTCGAACAATCCTACAAAAAAAATCCAAAACTACTTGCCCAATTGCAGCACTGTGAAGAATACAGCATTCCATTAGCTGTCATTTTGGGGGAATCGGAACTCAAAAATGGTGTTGTGAAACTACGTGTTGTTTCTAGCAGAGAAGAAATTGAGGTGAAAAGAACCTCACTCGCAGATGAAGTTAGAAAACGACTGCAAAATATTAATGAATCATGATGCTTGCTAGGAATTTGTCCTAGAACTTAACTTTCATTGCACCTTTTAGTTTTCTTCAAAGAATTATTACTTTTTGCATGTAGAACCAAAAGCCAACAGAAATTTTGCTTTGTAGAGTTATAAACCCAGGCAAATAGTGAAGCAAGTATTTCTCTTCATGTTCACAAATGAAAATATGTTTTAGATTTTTTGACTATGTTTTTTCATTTTTCTCCTGAATTAAGTTCACCTGATTTATTTTTATATAGATTTTTTCAGGCTATTATATTTGTTTGTAATTCACCAATAATGTTTATCAGTTACCTTGTTTCTGTGCCTCAGTTTGAAATATTTATTTTTATAATAATATAAAGTATCGCTCATGACATGGTATATTCAATTTACTGGTTAACAAATTAGTATTTATTTATTGCTTTTTTCAAAATAAATTTCATTGTTAAGTATAAACATTGTTCTTTTTGTAAAATTTTGAATGTCAATTTCATACTATTTATTTTCAATAAAAATATGGATTATTATACAAGAACTTAATTTACCTGCAAAAATAAAACATATTTATGTTCTAATCCTAATGTACAAAGATGTAAATATACAGAAAATTGTCTTAACTGCAGTCTCTAAAATAGCTCTAGTCTCATTTTTATTCATTTGGTGATAAAAACTCATATCGATAATAATTATGAAAGGTTAATTGAGTCAATGGAGGATCGTTTATGAAATATTGATTCCCAATTGAAAACGAAAAAAATAAATGTAATCAAATCAAGCTGACCAGGGGTAATTGAAACGAAATCATTCTCATATTGTGCGACATGTATACGTTTTTTAAATAAAATACTTCTTTATCAAACCAACGGTGGAATTCACCCAAATCAATTGAACTAGACCTTTTATAACGACCATGAAATATTATTTATTTGAAGGAAAATCCTTCAATAAAAGTAATAACTGTTCAAAAACATTCAAGTAATAGAATGTTACACTATAACAAAAAATATAATGAGTACATTATACAATAGGTACACATATCTTAATTATCCAATAACTTCAGAAAAAAAAATCTGTTTAAAATCTGTTTTTCCGTTAACCAGCTGTCGCACCCCTACGAACGACAACCCTCAGAAGTCGAAACTTGTGCGAGCTAAGGATTAACGAGGTCTTACCTTTTAACGTGTGATTATTAACACGTTCATATATACATACATAAGGTACATAAGGTATTGCCTGCCTAAAGGGCAGGCAATACCTTATGTACAGTGTATCCCGCTTTTCTTGAATCAATCCCCATACCCCTATTCCTTAAAATGCAATTTCTAACTCATTTGTCAGTTGATGTGTATGCAATATCCTTTCAAATGGATCTCGTTGACGTACGGAAGGTAATAGTGTCAATCAATCACGAAAAGTATATTATAGGAGTCAACATAAATGGAAAATTATTTTTAAATTTGAATTCAGCAATTTCAAAATCCCTTGAATGTAATTATAACTCTAAATTATCTTTATAAAATTTGAAATTGTGTTGTCAAACTCAACACTTCTAGCCAATCGCATGAATAAAAAACAAATCACAACTATATTTTATATTTTTCAATGGCGTACGTGATACATTTTTTAATAATTGCCTGAAAAAAATTAAAAACAGTGCCAATGGTACCCTTCATAGTTTTAAGGAAATATCTGAATTGGCCACGGTGGTAGTGCGCCCGACTCACGATCGGAAGGCCGTGAGTTCGATTCCCGCCTCGACCAGATATTTTTCTCGAGAGAATTTATCTGGTTGAAGCTGGGATGATTCTGCAACCATGTTAGGAATCACACGTTAAAAGGTAAGACCTCATTAGTCCTCAGCTCGTACAAGTTTTTCAACTTCAGAGAGTTGTCGTTCGTATGGTTGCGATAGCTGATTAACGGAAAAACAGATTTTAAACAATCGACTTTAATATTCGAAGTTCATTTTAATTCTAATGTATGCTATGTAAAAAACAATTCAAACAAATCAGGCCCCTCACATCAATTTGTGGGCCCTGATGCTTAAAAAAAGATGTCCCCCTTGGACTACAAGTCGAAGTGTTTTTGCATTTTTTTCATAAAACATGTGTTTTGAAGATATTCGATCTGTTTCGTTTTCGGTGCCCCACCCTGTATATAAAAGGGTCAATAATATTTTCGTCATTCAGAAAAGAACTACACAGTTATTTCCTTACAATGAATATGTCAAGTATCACTTCAAGTAAACTGGAATTCTCCACTGTACTTGATCGATATATTTATGAATGCATAAAATTTCTATATATTCACTAATAGACATTACTCTGACATGTATAAAATTACTTTGATTGGTTATTTAATAAATAACGTGGCGATATGTGGGTTAGCAAACGAATGTTTCATTTAGAGAACACGAGGTCTCACAGACCCGCATTCAAGGACATTGAATTCTACCCTTCCATTCAATTTTCATTTTGAAGTGTGTGAGGACAGCCAAATGAGATAATAACAGATAACGACACCAATTTTGTCGGAGCAGAACGTGAACTCAAGTAATGGTTTCAAAGTTTAGATCACAATGAGATTTCAGAAAAATTCGTATCTAAAAATATAATTTGGAAATTTAACCCTCCAGGAGTTGCCCACGAATAGAATCTGGAAAAAGATGACACGATCTATTAAAATAACTCTGATCAGTTAGAAATCTATTAATCCAAAAGAAGAGGTGAAAATTAATATATTATTACTTCATGGCCCTTGACACACATATCGGCCGATCCCATTATTATTATATACTATTAATCCAAAAGAAGAGGTGAAAATTAATATATTATTACTTCATGGCCCTTGACACACATATCGGCCGATCCCAATGAGGCAGCCTCCAAATCATTTTCTGCTACTGCGACCAGGTGATATTGGATCATTCGACAATATAGAGCTTTCTAGCAGAAAGCACTGAAGAATTATACAAGCATTAGCAGATACATAAGTACTGGAAACGATGTGTAACTGAATATAGACCAACACCTCTTCAGAGACAAAAATGGCACGATGAAACTAATCCTATTGAAATTGTCGACATAGTTTTAATTGTGCACCTATACATAGGAATCAGTTGATGGATGGTAAAGATAAGACGGTTAAGATGGAATCATCAAAGTTGTTGGAATCAGGGATAAACATATGCAAGATATATATGAGACCTGTCACCAAACTATGTATTCTTCCAGTCAGGAGTTGATATATTCACTTGACAAAGTCTGCTTGTGGGTGCTGGAGAATGTTACTTATTCTATTTGAATGAGTTCAGATTAGTTAACTGTTGAATACTCTTTATAACAGTCGTGTCAAAAATACGACCCGCATCCGGCCCCCCAGGTATTACTACAGCCCGCGATCGCAATGTGTCACAGAAAAAAGCGGGTGCCTAGACAAGCGAGAGTGTTAGGTACCTATTTAGTTCTAGTGAACAACTCAATCGTAGACGACATTTTTTGCAACAAGCGGAAATACCCTATTATTTTTGTTGAGAACAATAGCTTCCACACGCTTCGAGTCTAGACTTGTTTGTGTCGTGCGCGTGCAATATCCATAATTGTTGTGTCGAGTTCCATAATTGTTACGATTTTGGCATAATGTCACAAAAATATAAAGTTGATAGTGAGCGCAGAGTTTTTCAGTCTAAATGGGAAATGCATATTTTTTCATAGAATGGAAACGTAAACTACTGTGTTTGATTAGCAATCAAACAGTTGCTGTCTGTATGGAGTTTAACGTGAATAGACACTATTATATGAATAATAAATCAAAATTCGATTGTTACACTGAAATAATGAGAATGGATACACTGTCATCTTTAAAATCTAAACTTCAAAGTCAACAATCGATGTTTACTAAAGCTAATACTGAGAGCGAAGATGCCCTGAAATCAAGTTTTTTTATTTCATCAGAAATCGCGAAGAGATCAAAACCTTTCACTGATGGTGATTTTATTAAAGACTGTATGTTGAAAGTTGCCGATGTTTCATATCCATTTCAAAAGTCAAATAATTCAAAATATTTCGCTGTCAAGAAACACTGTTGCTTCAAGAATAAATGATTTATCTCAAAATTTGGTTCCTCAACTGAAGAAGATAATTAAGGAATTTACAAACTTTTCTTGACGAGAGCACCGATACTGTTGACACAGCTCAACTTGCTATTTTAATACGAGGTATTAACAGTAACTTTGAGAAATAACTGAAGAACTATTATATAAAGTGCGTTCCATTGATAGGTATTACAACAGAAAGTGATATTTATTCTGCAATTGTGCATTTGATAGCAGAATATGAACTCGACTTTAATAAACTTAGCAGCACAACTACGGATGGCGCTCCTGACATGGCTGGTAAACATTCAGGCGTTGTAAATTAAAACAAACATAAAGAGATTTTGTGGGATTTCACTGTATAATTCATCAGGAATCATTAGCCTCCAAACATTTAAAAATGGACCATGTCATACAACCTATAATTAAAATAGTAAATTTTACAAGGAGCAGAGGACTAAATCACAGGCAGTTTTTACAAGATTTGGACGAAAAGTTTTCTGATGTCCCTCATTTCACCGAAGTTCGTTGGCTCAGTCGAGGAGTAGTTTTAGAAAGATTAATTTGCATTACGTGATCCTATTTAAGATTTAATGTTAGAAAAAGGCAACCCAATTGATTATGACAATGAATGGTGGGTTGATTGTGTCTTTCTGGTAGATTTGAATAAACACTTGAATGATCTGAATATACCTACAGTGTGGTCCACTAAGTCTGCAATGGGAAACTTTTTTATTATCGATTTCTCAGAAAATTTTATTCTTGACAAAAGTTGGTGCATGTTCCAAAACTATACCAAGTGTACCTGAAATAAAGTTGGNAATATGTATCATACGGGAGTAATTCAAAATTTGCCAAAAGAAAAAAAATCGAATAGCAGGCCATGACTTCGTATCTGAACATAACTTTTAATTCTAAGCAACTTTTCTCTTCAACATATTTCTATATTTTTTGAAATAAGGGTACTTTACTCTTGAACGAACTTTATATTTTTTGGCCTATCCTGTATGGTGTTTGTCATAAAGCCATTTCAGGTACACTTGGTATAGTTTTGCAACATGCACCAACATGGACCACACTGTAAAGTTACAGTGTAAAAATCTGATCGGTACTCAAATGTATTCAAGCCTTTGAAACAAAGTTGAGGCTGTGGGAAAATCAGATAAAAAATCAAACTTTGGATAATTTCCTCATTCAAAATCATTTGGTACAGTGAACCAAAATCTGATAACGGCACCAGTTCATTTGCAAATGGAGTTGATAGATCTTCAATCGGACAGTATTGTGAAAGAAAAATTTAAAGAGTTTAACGCTCTTACATTTTACTCAATATTTCAAGATTTTGAATAATTACCCGGAATTGAAAAAAGCATGCAGCACGCATTCTGTGCATGTTTGGTAGTACCTATTTATGTGAGCAGGTGCGTTTTCCGCCATGAAAATAAATAAGAACAAACATCGAACAAGACTTACGAATGAACATCTCCAATCAATTGTTAAAATAATTACAACGGATATGATACCTAACATCAATGAGCTTGTCGAAAACAAGAGAGTCGTGTGTTTGGATCCTCGAGGTCAAAATAATTACCCTCTTTTACAACTTTGATATGATTTTTAACAACCTTATATACTATATTATTAAATGAATAAAATGTTATAATAATTCAGGACATTTTTTTATTTGGGTCTGGCCCGCCTACACATTCTAAATTTAATATATGACCCTCTGAAAAATTGAGTTTGACATTTCTGTCACACTCATTGTCCAGATATGACATCTACCGAACTTACTGAAACTAAGTCAGATGGTTAAACAAAGACAAAGTTCTGTCAGCTGTGTTCATAAATTGTTGTAGTTTCGTGTGCTTCCCGTCAGTGAAATTAATTTATTTTATCTATTCATCGAGTTCTCATGCCTATAATAAACGTATATATACTATTTGTGAGCCGTCTGACATGCTCATTTTCTCAAGTCTCTGAGAAATACTGCAGCATTAAGTGCCTATTGCTTTGTATTCTCATTTTTTTCATGACACAAATTTCAACAATGCTGTATATCATAGTCTGGACATAATTTGGTTTATTCATTAATCAGGAGGGAGGTAAATATTCCCCATTACCCCGCCATGTATATACGCTTGATTTAAAATATATTTAATTATGAATAATTTGTGGAGTATTCTTAGAACTGATGGAAATGGTGCATGCGAAAATATTGAGGACCACAGGAATTCACTGTGGTCTCCAACTCCTTCTTATTGTTTGCTATTGTGTACATCTTCTTTAAATCATACAGAATCAGATATCTCTCTATTCATGGTCCTATTTTTTATACCATCTATACCTAATCATCTGTGTTCATCTGGTCCTTTTAGGTTCCTAGGTTGCGAAATGAAAATGAATAGAAAACAGAAGGTTTATTTCACAAAATTTAGGGACACTTTCAATATAATCCTAAAATAAATAGTAGTATCCATTTTACAAAAACTAATATTCTAATGTAAATTGCACGTATATAAACAAGTCACAGTGTACTTGACTTAACTGTACGGTCACGCTGGCTATTCGGACATAGTAATGGTTTTCAGTTCCTGAGGTAGACTCATTTGAGGGTCTTGTGATAATTGAACGAATTAATAAATTATCACCATCACTAGATGAAAAATGTCTGACTGTTACTGATCTCAACTGGATGAGTTATCGCACATTATAACCCAGTTTGCCCCAAAAAGTTTTTTGATGAACATGAAACATGTATACAGAAACAAGATTCAATTATGCCTGTTGTCTTTTAGTTACAACCTGTGAAACAGAACGTGTTCTGCAAAAAATGATAACAAGAAAATGATATTAATAAAGAATCTTCCTTTTTCTAAAACGATACTCATAATAATTTCTCACAAAGCTCTAGTATATGACTTCCAATTAAAAATCTATCCATGATGGAACAGACCACAGTGAAGCCTTTTTAAATAATTTCTAGTACTAGATGTGCTTTGCACATAGAGATTTCAAATTATATGAAATTTTTGTGATGATATCCAAAAGATATATTTGGCTTATTGGAATCAATCCAAATCATCATATGACTAAATATTTCAGTGAAACAATATGTAGCTAGATTTGTATTGTGTTTCACTGCCACCATCAACTTCAGAAGTCTTCTAGAGGCTCATGAGTTAGGCTAAGGATAGGCGATGATCTTTCCTTTTAAATGTTGATTCCAAATTCATCAATCTGAGTTATAAGGAGTAAGTTACTGTTTATGGGGAAGCCAAAAACTGGTTAACGGAAAAATTGAGCAATCTCAAAATGAATACTTTGAAACACATTTTGTCATTTTCTAAATTATTTTTTGTAAAATGTCTCGTTTGAAAAATACTTGAGCGCTAATGGAGTTTGAAAACCACAACTATTGAATACAAAGAATCTGACTTGCCCCACATCATTTACAGTTGAATCAGGAACACTGTAGGATATACACTAATTCACAAGTCAGTCTATAGAAAAATATTTTCGAAATAAATAAATAATAATCTTCAGATAACAGAAAATATTAAAAACTCCATTAAAGTTAACTACAAATACATATAACTATCTGTACAAAATATATACAAAACATTCACAGAATGTAAGTTAAGATTTTTGATTATTCAGCTGCTTAGCAGCATTTATATTGTTTTGAGGTTTTGGTATATTTCTAATAGGGCCCAAAGATAGCATCGTGGTAGCCCCAATATTGGCCACATTACTAGGGCTACGTGTATTGATCACTGGAAGAGCGAAGGTGCCATCAACGCCAGGAGATGGAAGAGGAATGTAGTTATTAATACCCATCGCAGTTAGCTTTTGTAAAATACCAGGGGTTTTGAGGTTTACCAGAGGTATCCCTAACTCAGCCATGCCGCTTGAAGTTTTATGATAAGTCTGTCTATGTTTGTTGAGACCCATTGCATTAGGATATTGAGCTGGACAGAGATCACAACGATAGGGTAGGCCCGGTCTTTGCTTTTGGGGTGAATTGGACTGCGATTGTGCTGGTCCCGTGTCATCAGTTAGGTCTACAGTAGGCAGAGATTCACTTGTTGGCTGAAATAAAGAGATCTATTGAGAAACTCATGATGAATTTTTGAAAAATCAGGTTATTTCCTAGAGTTACATTCAATATCGAAACAATATATTCCACAAATTGTTCAGCTCCATGTACACCCGGTACGCAGCGTTCATGAATTTCCAAGCTCTCTTGCCCCAACATTTCCTAGCTGTTGATTATTTGATTAGTTTTGAGTTATTTATTTATTTTTTTGTTCTTATTACCGTTGAATTATTGTTGTTATGGTGTCGTTAAAAAAGAAGAGTTTTTAGGTAAATTTAACATTGTCAATAAAATAATTGTCATGACGAAAAGTGAATATTTTTTGGCACGAAATAACATTGGTGACCCCGACGTGATCGTGAAATGGAAAAGAAAGAAAATTAACCCAAAGTCGCACCGCTGGTTTGAACAGAAGCCTATCAACGGATTATATTTGGTCACAGAGCGCACCAGAAAAGATACTAACAGCGGAGTCTTCAAAATCCAGAGAAAATATCGAAATGCCTGACCCTAATCAAGTTGTGATAGAAAGTGACAAGGTCTCCAAGAAATCGACTAAATCTACAGAGATACGTTCTACCACGACTAGACCAACAAACAAATTCAAACATAGTACTGCAAGTTTGAAGAGAAAGATAAATGCAATTGAAATGGAAAAACGAAGACAAGAATTACAACAAGAGAGCAGACGAATCGAGTATGAGCTAAAGAGAAAAAACGGCATATAGAGAACAATTTTCGGCTTCTGAAAATGCAAGAAGACCTTCAAAATGTAGAGTTGAAAAGTATTGATGGAACCAACTTTCATGAAGATTCACGAATAAACCTGAGTGAAATATCAAAACACGAGGAAGTAGTGAAATGGATAAATGACATTCCAGATGGATTAGATCAAACAGACACTCTTATTGTTCCGGAAACTGATAACTCCAATAATAACAAAGATATATACAAAGATAATACATTAACAAATTTTATGTAGACTTGGATTCCAAGGATATGGAACAGGAAGCACTTCATACCATCTCAAAAGACTGCAAAGTACAGAAGAAAGGAGGCTTTGAAATAGTTAGTTGGAGAGAGAGAAAGAACTTTATTGTCCAAAGAACAGAATTCTTGTTAACAAAGTTTAGAAATACATTTATGTATGTACACATATATCTATATATACACACACACACACACACACATATATACATATGTAACACAAAGGGATCAATTCAAAATTAAATAAAAGATTATTCCAAGCTCCATCGGTAAAAGTGCACACAGTTCTGAAAACTTCTCTCAACAATTGCAACAATTGCCAGAAATGAGGATGAAATGTACTTATTTTTTTCTAGTATTTCTTGCGATTATCATTTGAGAAATGCTAGTTTGAGATAATACTAATTATCTGGTCAGCTCACAGGTACTTACATGTGTTTTTTAAATAAGCGTAAAGCCATTTGAACTGTATTTTCTTCATTTGTCATTAGGTATGCACATTTGTACTTCTCATAGTTGATAAAATATTTTTAAAAATCTTGTTTCAGAGAATAAAATGTGCTTCCAACTGATTTGTCTTCTTTCTGGAAACCTGTTTGTACTAGTGGTCGTTTTCAACATTAAAAAAAACGCTTAGTAAGTAAAGAAGGGAATATGCACTTTTTTTTGATAAAATAGAGGGTGTCCCCAATACGAAAAAATCGAATTATTACTGTTTGAAAATTATGAAACTTAGTTGAAACTGTTTTATCCAGCATCCTATGTATCATTTCCACAACTTAAGATACTAGGAAACTGCAGACACACTATGAAACTCACTGTGCCAACTAAAACATTACCAGAGACTCCATATTTTACAACGGTGGAAAAATATACAATCATTTGCCTATGGATATAAGATCTGCCAATATAAATGAATTTCAATTCAGGAAGTTAGCCAAACAATTTCTATCTGATAGACCCTATTATACTTTGGATGAATATTTTAACAATAGCTTTTAACTGATTTATGCATATTAAGTAAGGATAACAAATTTTGTTATCCTCACTTATTATAGAGCTCTTAAGTTGTTACTTTTTATG